ATCTCATGGTGTCAATCAAACTTGCCTAGAGTAAAGGGAATTTACAAGGCCTAAGATATCATACATTGGTCAAGGACTGTAAAAGTCATGAAACTTGCAATTACAAAAGTTATGACCGCTCAGAGGGGGAGCAGGTGGGGATTTGATCTTCTTGTAGAACGGGCCCTATCTACAGGGAAGCCAATGATCCCCCGAAGCTACCCACTGGGAATGCCTAGGAGATAAGGGGAGGTGCACCCTCCATGAGCTCTGAGGAATGTCATTTGGGAAGGTGCAAGAGAATTAGAATCCTTGTCACGCCCTTCTCTAGGGGCTGTGATAATGTGGGCGGGCATTAAGGGGTCTCTATGTCACAAGATATCCAAGACATCCACAGGTGGTCGATAAGAAAGTTACAGGCAGTCACGAGCAACATCTCCAAGAGAAGGATTTAAGTCAAGACTTGGGGGGCTACGAGGCCACACTCACCTAGAGTGTAGGCCCACTCCCTGTCTGTGGGGGTGAACTTTTCTTAAATAAACCTTGTCTTTTCTCACCTCTGTGTGTCGCAATTCTTTGCAATTTACTCAGATCTCTGGGTTCCCAGCACGGCACCTCTGGCTTGCCAGCCCTGGCAGTGCTACCACACCTCCCTGTGCCTCTCAACCTCACCCTGTCCATCCGAACCCTAACAGATGGCATTCTTATTGTGAAATAATTCTAGACCCGCCCTCCCCCCCCAAAAAAACCCTATTTTGCATCTACTCAGGAAGAGTTATCTGATAAAGAGACGGAAAAATAATATGACTTTTTTTTTTTTTTTTGAGTTGGAGTCTTACTCTGTCGTTCAGGCTAGAGTGCAGTGACACATTCACGGCCACCCCAGCATCAGCCTGCTGGAAAAATATGACTTTTAAGCAACAGTTAGCACTGACTTTTTTAATGGTTTGCTAAAAAACACACTAACTTTAGCTAACATATCCAAAACATGGTGTAAAGCTCTCTGAATTCTTCCCGGTGAGAAATTCTGGATAGGCAAGTTTTCTGGATAGCTGATTCCTAAATTTCCATACGTTCTTGCATTTTTAGTTTTTATCGAGAGATTTATTTTTTAAAAATCTCTCAGGAATATGTTTTTTAAAAACCCCTGTCTCTATTTAGGCCACTAAACATCCTTTCAGGTTGGGGCTGGTGGAGGGGCTGCGAGCCTCTTCATTAGACAACTTCAATTTGACGTTGTATACACTGCAGTTACTTTTAGAATCCTTCGTGTCAATTGCCACGTCTCCGTTAGAAGTTATCTCTATCCATTCTATTTACAGATTCTAATAGGACTTGAGATAACCAAGTTTATTTATAGAATTGCTATAAATAAATAAATAAAAAGCTACCCGTTTCTGAAGCCCTACTGTAGGCTAGACATTGTGCTCGTCATAATATATCTCTTCAGTCCTTACCCAACTCCAGTGTTGGGTATCACACCCGTTTTACAGGTGAGGAACCTGAGGCTCAAGTAGTTTGTCCAAGGTTTCACACCAGGTAGATAAGGCATTTATAACAGATGTTTGCAGACTCTAAGCCAACCCACCACCGCTCCCTTTGTCCCAGGTACTGACAGAGCAACCTGCCTCTTAGAATTGCTGTGAGGTAAGAATAAGGAAGCACTGGCCAGTGTGATCTCTGACTATCAGAGTTTAGGAGGTTCACGGCATGCATTTTGGACACCCAGTTTGCCAATTTTGCCTATCTTCTGGGTCAAAGAAGAAAATAACTCAAAGTCTTTGTAAAATGTAAAAGTCTATGGAAATATTCCCTTTATTGTTTTTGGATAGGTACCGTGATAACAATTTAATAAATTGATAAGTTAAGGAGCAGTGAGCAGCAGTAAGACTCACATTTTAATAAAGTTAATAATGTTCATAACGAGACTCACATTTTAGAAGCAAATAAACACATGAGAACGGTTGAGGTTATTTGATGGGCGTTTGGCTCACTGTTAGTCCAGTGACCTCTGACCCCTATTCCCATATCCCTGCTTCCTTCAAGAAGAACTCTCTGCAGGTCTCCTTACCTGTTCAGGCCTGGGACTGTGCGAGTAAGCTGTGGCCAGAGAGGCCAAGGAACAGATTTTCAATAACGACACTCAATATAAGGTTTGACAATTTTATTGGAAAACAAGTACAGTCTCTTGATCAGTGATACATGCTGTACGCGGATGTGGTGTTTTAATATATAAAAATATTTGAGATCTGCAGAATTATACAAACAAGTTTAAAAAAACCCCTTCAACATTAACCAATACAAACATAATTTATCAAAATGTCACTTAAAAATGGCTCAATACCTTTTCTCATATTGCAAACAAAAAGGCAAGATGGGGAAAATATAAATTCTGCTAAACCAGTTTTAACAACTGGCAATTAAATACTTTGCTGCATTTGCAAACTCTTCTTTAACACTTAGGCTGACTTTAAACAATGCCATCAGAAAGTGCAATAAAATTGAATTAACAGGGAAGGCATTGGAGGTTTTTGTCTTTTTTTAGAGGGAGACAATATGTCAAAGGAAGTTCACAGGGGAACCAGGAATGCAGCTTCTTCCTGTGGAATCCACCCCTTGGGAGACTGGGAATGACACTGCACTTTTCTGTTAGGGATTCTCTGCCACCCAGGCCTATCTGTTGATTCTTGACCCTCCTTAAATTTCAAGTGCCATGCTACTTGTAATTCTTGGTTTTCACGGTCCCTCCCCACTGCTTTCTGGCCAATTCCGTCACTAATTCTAAGTTTCAGAATTGGCTTGCTGATATGATTGCTGATACATTTTCTAGATAATAAACTAAAACAGTCAGCAAAATTAAATATTTAAAGCACCTACTAGGCCTTTTAGGATGTAAGCCTCCCCACCCTCACCCCGTGGGCTTTAGTCTGTGTGTGGCCAAAATGAAAGCCAGGCCCGTCTCTTAGAAGGGCAGTTCCAAAGCAGTGGTCACTCAGTGCTGGCAATCAGACCCAGGAGAAAGCAAGCAGAAATGTAAGAGTCAGTGTATTAAACTCTGTGCATCTCTGTCTAGTTTTGACTACCTTGGCGGGGGGGAATATTATTCCAAATAAAAGTCTATGCAAATTCATAATATTAGATATGAAAAATATAAAAACCAGAAGGCCTATCTACGTTCATACAACTTTGAAAACTGTGCATGAGTCCTGCAATAAGTGGTACATAAACTTGACTTTGCTGTTTTCTAGGGTTTATCTAATTATCCTAAGGACTGCTATAAGATTTTTGTAAAATATTTTTTCTAGACCAAAAAAGCCCAATTTGCTTTTCTTTTTAATTAAGACATATTTGCCTTTAGAAATAACGTATGAGTAGAAAAGTTTTTCATAAAATCTAAACATTAATTTTTGCAAACTCCACACTCAAAAGTTTAGAATTTTGTTTCTCAAAGCATTCCTTGACTCAGTTGCCTCCTAGAATAATTCCATTTCTTCTCACAAAAGTGGTGGGATAGGACAATTATTTAGAGAGAGAGTTATTTAGAGCACTGGACTGGAAGCCAGAAAAGGAGGTTCCAGTCATAGGTTCAACAGAACTTAGAGTGTGATTTAAAAAAAAAAAAAAAAAGTCACTTTCTCTCTATGTAACATTAGAATAATTGCAAAAATTAAATAAGGCAATCTGAAAACATTTTACACAAGAGAGCACGATACAGGTCTATGTCATATGTGCATATTACTCATGGAAGGCAGCAAAAGACAGGAGGAGACACCCTCAGCCTCTCTCTCAGCGGACATGGATTCCGGTTGGAGGCAGACACCCCTTCCCTCAAATGTTCACCACCCATCAGTGCCGTCAGCCTGACAGGAGAGAGAGGGGGTTTGAGACGAGTCTCTTAGGGAAAGCCCCTTGGGGACTATGGAGTTGGGGTAGGCACTGAATTTCAACAAAATTTCAGGAAGCTGGAGAAAATATGAAAAGGCCTTGGAGGCAGAGGAGGGGTAGGGGTGGGGGGAGGAGGGTGGGGTAGCCAGATCAAAGATGGAGGTGTGCCAGAGCCAGGGCCACGAGGCCAGTCCCGGAATTCACACAGCAGGATGGTGAGGAAAGGCTGTGAGGAACGGGTGGGGAGTCAGGGTGGCGGTGACAAGCTGGTGGGAGGAGTTGGGTTGGAGCTCCCAATCAAGAGTAGCCCCTTGAAGGTATGTCAGGGGGAGCAGATGAGAGCAAAGTAGCATCTTAAAAAGGACGGTTCATCAGTGGGCTAGCACGAGACAGTGTGGAGGAGGAAGTCTCTGAGACGTGGTCCTTCCAAAGAAGAAATGAGCCCGGCAGAATGCAAAACAACAAGGAAGACCAGAACGGTCAGGCCGGGGAGGAAAGCATTAAGAAGTGGGTCCATTCCCTGTTCCTGCTGCTTTTGGAATGTTCTCTCTCTCCTGTGGAAAGCTAAGAGGATCCCAAAACCTCGGAATCCTGGAATCCCTGTATTCACTGAAATGACAGTTTTCAAGGTCTGTAAAATACAATTTGGTCTTTGGAAACGGCCTGACTGTGGCTATGGATGCATATGGAAAATGGAAGCAAATGGAAAGCTCTCCGAGAGTGCATCTGCATACCTCTGTGAGGCATCAGCCTCACTCTGCATGCAACACTGTCTAGGAGAGCCACTCCAGAGCCAGTGACTCCACAGAGTCCCCAGACAGGGCACAGCTCAACCCTTGCACTGTGGGTGACCTAACAAAACCATCTATAGACGGTGACCATTTCCTGTAAGTTCTTCCCTCTAGTTTCCTGTCTCCATGCCTTTTCTCCGCAGTTCACATTCAAAGAGGGCATTTATTGCCTTTCTAAAAGGCCTCCCCAAGCCCTGAAGTTCCCTGCTCTGAAGTTCCCTGGCCACGTCTTGCTCCCTTAATCTGATTCAAGGTGACCTGAGGGATAACAGACTACACAGGTAGGTAGTCAGCAGGGGCACAGCCAGCCTGCAATGCTATAAAGGCACCCAAAGAACCCTCGGCCAGCTTCCCCATGCTACCTGAGAGGCACATGAATCTCTCTCTGTGGTTTCTTCATAGAGTCTGGCCTAGTGGCTGGGGACATTAACTGGTGTTTGGATGGCGGTAACTGTCGCTGGACTGGCATGTGGTACCTGACGTTCTTCCAAAACCTTGTTTTTGCAGACTGCGGTCCGGCTGTAATGTCCCCCGGCCAGCGGATGGCCCCATGTTTCTGTTTAATGAACTTAATGGATTCTGGCATTTTCTCATAGTCTTGGATTTTCTCCAACTCAAGCAGGACAACTTTAATTCCATCCTGAATGAGAGCATTATACATCGCTATTTGCTCTTCAGATGAACTACCCAGCCAGTCGAAGTCTGATGTTCCTCTGACTAAAATGATAATTAGCGTTCTGCTTTTCTTTATGTTTTCATTAGTGACCTCAACAATGTCTGGAAAACATGAAGCACAGCGTGGTAAGCAAAATTTCAATTTAGAATCATTCTCTTCAGAACCAAAACCTCACAACGTTCCTGCCAACCCATCCCCTATGGCTACTAATTTGTTTTTCTTGCCTTAGTTGAGATTAAAGGAGTTGTCCATTCTACAGATCAACTCAAAAATTGGCCCTCAAAAGTCAAACATTTAATATAGACCTCAGAAAATTTTTACTCAGAATTTTGAAAACTTCTTGTTAAATTATTTTATTTATACCACATCTGTTTTACTGTGTCAGTTGTAAAGTAACTATTGGATCTACTAGTTTTCCAAAACTAAATAAAAATCACTTCATAATTGCTCCACTAGAATATGAGAAAAATACATGCTTTGCATGTAAAAATAATCATCATACACCTCTGAAGAGGTTCTTAAAATTGTGAAATAAACCGGACGTGGTAGCTCATGCCTATAATCCCAGCACTTTGGGAGGTAGAAGCGAGAGGATTTCCTGAGCCCAGGGGTTCAAGACCAGCCTAGGCAACTTGGCAAGACCTCGTTTCTACAATAAATCAAAAATATCCGCCAGGTGTAATGGCATGCACCTGTGGTTCCAGCTACTTGTAAGACTGCGGCAGAAGAATCACCTGAGCCCAGAAGGTTGAGGCTGCAGTGACTGTGAGTGTGCCACTACACTCCAGTCTGGGTGTCAAAGTGAGACTCTGACTCAAAAAAAAAAGTGAAATATATGCACCTATGCTATGGTCTTCTAGAAAGATGGAACATAAGTTTTAGCAATCAGTTTTACAACAATAAAAGTAAATATTTACTTTGTTCTCCAAGCGAAGTGGGGACCAAAGAGAGGTCTCAACTTTACCTATATGATAACCACTTGTATACCTAATCCTGAATTGTATTTCACATCTTTAAAATAAAAAAAGAAACTAAATAAATAAGTTTACTCTGTTCCATTATATACACACCCTCTCCAACATAGTCATCCCTTCCATAAATGAACAGCTTATATCCACACTGTTTTTCCAAGACCTCGGGCAAGACTTTAAACACAAAAATATCTGAGTTAGAGGTGGACCCTTCCCCAAGGGCCTTTGGATATAGTATATATGCATCATAGGTCTTTCCGTCTGAAGCTAAAGGTAAAACAGAACACATTAAGAATCAAAAGAAAAGATTTGATAAAGTCAATATCACAAGTATTTACTTCATAATAAATTATTGTTTTTGTACGATGGCATGACTGAAGCAGCAATACCAAAAGTATACCACCTTTTCATCTCTTACAAAGTTTCTATTTATTGTTTTACTACAGACTTGTTAACTGTTGTATTTGATGGCTACCACTGATAGCTCGGTACAGAACATCCTTATCTCTCTGTTCTCATCTTCTTCTTTCAATGTCTCATTCCTGAATTCTGCCCATTCTTCCTTTTAGATATTATTGTGGTATTAGTTTTTGTTTCTTTGTTTGTTTGTTTGTTTTGCAAGGTTTCAACAAAAGAGAAGAGAGAATCTCCCTCGTGCACATCTAGTCATTACTTTCATTTAAAGGCAGATCAGGGAGTAATCTATGCCCATCCTACTCAGCACAGAACAAATCCTCTCAATAGCTTCTGGATAACTGAATGTATAAACTGGTGCTCTTAACACTTGCTTATGCTAGAGAAGTAGCTTGGAAAATAATGATATCCAGCCTAGTCAATTATGACCCAGACACTATAATATGTATAAGAATAACAACGATTCTTGTATATGACACCCTCCACTTTAAAACTTAATTAAAAACCCTCTTAGTCATCCTCTACATCTCCCAGCTATCCTTTTTCTTTCAGAATAAAGTAGTGCATAGAACACAAAATCATACCTTTGGGAGAGTAAAAACCATAACAGGAATCCCTGTACCAAAGTACAATGTCAACCTTGAAGATTTTATAAATGAAAACAGAGCATGTAATTACAACTGCTAACGTGAGAAATGCACCAATCACGTGGTTCTGGAAATTGGGTACTGTAGCAGACAAGAGAGAAAAAAAATAGAAACAAAAAGAATTAAAAATTGGAACATCAAAAATTGAACATCTTCATCTCAGAGAAACCATATTTAGGATTAGACATTCAGACAGTACTAACTCATTCATTATTTTCATTTAATAATGGATACTAACATACAGAGCAAGCTAGCATGGGTTATTTTAAATTATTTTTCATTTTCATATAAATATTTTTATATAAATCACTTTATCATATAAAATTAAGGTGTAGAACACACCTAAATGGCATAATATACAATCACGTAGAAAAAATACCAAAGACCAACAGGCTAGTGCATTCCACAGTAAATCAAGTAAAAGTCAACATCACTCAAAAATTCTCTGAGGTCGGTTAAGAAAAGCCAAAGGTTGGAGGAATTGTAGGGAAAAGAAGGGATTAGGGAAGTTTTCGCATTTTCACAGTCTCTTGGCCTTTCTCTCTAACTATTTATCTAATGATTACAGAGAAGGAAGAGAAGGAGGAGGAGAAGGAAGAGGAGGGACAGAAGAGGAAGAAACTGCTTTCTAAATGTCAAGGATCATGTAGGCATCCATAAAACAGAATCTAAAAGCTTTATTATTTACTTTTCCAATTCAGACCTTCAATCCATCTGGAATCAATTTTGGTACAAAGTAGAAATCAAGTTCTATCATTTTCCAGACCAATACGCAACTGGCCCAATTGATAGTTCGTCTCTACTTCATACAAGATCGTGATGAGTACAATGTAAATCCTCCAACTTTATTGTTCTTATTTAAGACCAACTTGACTATCCTTGTTCCTTTACATATTCTTATGACTTTTAGAATGAACCTATACATTTACATGTGTGCCCACACCAGCACACTCATGTACATACACACCCAAATTTGCACAAATGTTGCTGAGATTTTGACTGGAATATTTTTTAATCTATAGATTCATTTGGAGAGAGCTAGCATATATATAATATTGAGTCTTTCAATCTATGAACATTGCATATTCTTTCATCTATTTACCTCAATTTACCTCAATAATGTTTTTGCTAGTTTATATTCAGAGGTCTTGAACACCTTTTGCTAGATTTATTCTTAAGTATTTGATTATTTTTGATGCTAATGTAAATGTCTTTTAAATGTATTTTTATCTGCATGCTGTTGGCATTTACACATACATATAATTCATATGTATTTATAAGCATTTAGACATACATATAACTCATATAGCACATATATAGCAATATCACTCTATTGAACTTGCTAAATTCACATACTAATTCTCATAGTTTGTAGATCCTTTTAGATAATCTTCCATGTACACAACTAGAAATACTCTATTTTTAATTCAACTGCAAATTATCTTAAAATGTCTCACAAATACTTCCAATTGGTAAAAATAAATGGTGAGCACCATCATCAAATTCAAGTCAAGTAAAGAAAATTAAGTTCAATAGTCCTGTGAATGGAATATGTGGTGCTCCAAAAGTACGTAACAGAGCACTTAACCTCATCTGTATGGACAGAGAGTTGGGATAAGGACAGGCAGCTGGACAGAAAAGCACTCTAGAAGAAGAGAGAGTTCAGCTAAGCAGCGAAAGAAAAATAGGAGTTTCCCAGGAAGTGAATCATGTTCCCGGCAGAAGAAATAGCACCCCAAACCACAAGGTCATGAACTCTAACTACAGTTAAACAAAATTGTATTTCAAGTAGTTTGTTGTTTACTTGGATGTATTAATTGTACATATGCTTCACTTTTGGCAGCTGTACTCTTGGCTAAGCAGATGAATGGATACAGATAAAATCTACTTTTGACTTCTGTGATATTAAGCACTGTGATGAGTGTACTCCTTCTTTTGTTGGCAGGATTTTCCACACTGTTCAAAAAAGAGGAAAATAGAGTTGTGTAAGTAAATTGAATCTACTACAAATAAGACACATACACCTGGCTTATTTCTTTACTTGTAACATAAATTGCAGCTACAATAATCACCTACCCCAATCACAGGCAGAGCAACCAGACTGTAGGCAACATTGATCTGAGATTTTATAGCCCCGAGACCAATGTCAGTAAGAGACTTTGTAGCAGATAAACCAAATTAAAATTACAAGCTTTCAAGAAGAAAAATATGGACATATACTTCCCGGTCTCCATGGGACAGAGAGAATACCTTAAACAAGTCTAGATTGATGCAGATAACAAAGAGCTTTGCAGGGGATATGAAGGAGAGGTCATGCAAAGCCAATAAATCCTAATCCTATAGACAAGGAATAGGAAGCCAGTAGAGACTCTTGAGCAGTGGAGTGTCTGGTTCTTGACCCATTTAATGAGTCTTCTAAACTACTTAAGAAACATGAGGAATAATTCAGGAGAATTGCTTCATTGGAATGCGGCAACGTGTATGACTGAATGTGAGAGAATGGCTTCTTAATGGCCTGGAATTCACACAATGGCATGGTTTTTGTTTTTGTTTCTTTACCTTAAATGTACAAGATCTTATAAATCCCACTTAGCTTAGCAAAACTCAAAATAAGCAGCAAAAGGTTAGGACCAGTCAATTGTCGGTTAACCCTTGCTGTTAGACTGAACCATCAAGGTTTTATCAAATATGACACAGGGCCGGGCGCAGTGGCTCAAGCCGGTAATCCCAGAACTTTGGGTGGCCGAGGTGAGCGGATTGCCTGAGCCCACAGATTCGAGGAGAGGCTGGGCAATTTGGCAAGACCACGTCTCTACAATAAAATATCAAAATTAGTCGGGCATGTTAGCGTGCCTGTAGGGCCTGTAGTTGTGGCTACTTGAAAGGCTAAGGTGAAAGGACCGCCCTACTCCAGCAGATTGACGCTGGAGTGGCCGTGAGCGTGCCACCGCACTCCAGCCTGGGTGACAGAGTGAGACTCCAACAATACATAAATACATACATAAATACATAAATAAATAAAATATGGCATGGAATTTAATAGCAAAATATGACTGGTTCTTTGCATACATACGAATCATAGTCTTCCACCAGCACTGGATCATCTTCATCAATTACTGACCCATTCCACTTCCAGTAGACAACATCACTCAACTGGCCAGTAACATTACAAATCAGCTGTATATGGGATCCTGCAAAGCAATGTATTTTAAGTCATAACATTAATTGATTTTATTCTGATCTATCTAGATTAATAAATGGCTACTGGATGAAAATACTAAATTACAGAAAAGCGCAAAGAAAAGGGAAAACTATCCTTAAACCCAACACCCAGAGATAACCACTATTAGTAACTTTATGTTTCTCATTTCTTATCTTCCGTGTGAACATATGCAATTTTTTAAGTGGAATCTTGTTGCCCGACTGTTCTGTAATTGCTGTCGATTGGGAATTTGGCCTACTAGATTCGTCTTCCAAAATAGACTATTTCATGGCTGCTTGGTATTCCATAATATAAATATGCTATAATGAACAGTTTTCCTATTGCTGAACACAATTTGTTTCCAGTTTTTCATTATTCTGATTAATATTACAGCAAACGTCTTTGTGCATAAGTGTTTAGACATATCCGGAAGTATTAAAATCTCGAAGTAGAATTGAATTATAGTAGAAATATATTTTAAAAGCCAAACCCCTAGCTTAAGTGAGGTTGTATCAATCTATTCTCTCCAGCACTGTATGTGAGCACCCCCAAAACCTCCAGAAAACAAGGGTTTGGGGTTAGTCATTACCAATTGAGAGAAGAAAAAAATTCTATTTAAATTTTCCTCTGCATCTCATGAGTTCATGGTGCATTAATATGTTTTTCATAATCTTAGTGCTTATTAGCATTTCTTTTGAAGAACTCCTTGTTGGCTGGGCTTGTTGGCTCAGCCTGTCATCCCAGCACTTTGGAATCCAAGGTGAGTGGACTGCCTGAGCCCATGGGTTCAAGACCAGCCTGGGCAACCTGGCAAGACCTTGTCTCCACAATAAATCAAAAATGAGCCGGGCATGGTAGCGCACACTTATAGTTCCAGCTACTTGGAAGGCTGAGGCGGAAGGATCGCCGGAGCCCAGCAGGTCGATGCTGGGGTGGCCATGAGTGTGCCATGGCACACCAACCTGGGTGGCAGAGTAAGAGTCCAACTCAAAAAAAAAAAAAAAAAAAGAACTGCTTGTTATGCCCACTGTCCATTCTTTAATTTCATTCTCGTATGAACCTTTCCAATGTGTGGGAGCTCTTTATTCATCAAGAATATTAACTCTTTATTGTACATAACAAATAGTCAGCATTAGTTGCTTTCATCTAATGTTTGTTTATAGTATAAAAATGATTTATGTAACTCTTTTAATTTTTCATTTGATCATATTTATAAATGTTTTCCGATTTTAATCTATTTTCATTATATTTTTTCTAAAAGTCCTCTACCACCAAATCAGAAAAAAATATTCATGTACATTTTCTTTTAGGCATACCTTTTCATTGTTTTATTGATTTGATGGTTTTTGTTTTTTAATCTCCTGGACTATGATTGTCTGTAGCATGAGGGAGTAATTTAACCTAATGGTTCTATCCAAATATCTGATGGATCACTCCAGAACCACTAACTGATAATAATTTTCCTTCTTACTAATTTGTAATGCTGCCTTTATTATATAACAAATTCTCATTTATTTTGGATTTTCTCAACTGATCTTTTAATTACTAACATCTTGGAGTAAATACTAATTTCACTTGGAGCTCTTCTTTCCAATATTATCTTAATAGATCTCATGATTTCATTCTCCCAAGTGAATTTTAGAAGCAATTTTTAAGCTCACCCATATTTTTATTGGAATTCCACTAAATCTAAACATTGATTTTTGAGAGTTTATTATCTTTACAAGTTCTAGATTTTTATATTGGAAAAGCATACACATCTATATTACATTTTGCCTTAAATCGCAATTTCTCAATATTATTTTCGTTAATGCTCCTTTAAAGCCTCTTAATAATTTTTTTCCTAATTGCCTCTTTTGCCATAAATTTTTAATACCACGGATATCCAGTATATATGTTGATGTATATGTTTTTTACTCCCAATAACCAATTTTCTCCTCATTGGAGACAATATCACTCCTGCCCTCAGAATACATGCTTTAAATCTCAGTTTTCTGAGACTCACACTTCATAATTTTGAGATCTGAGGACTTTTCCTCTCTTATAAATTCTACATCTCTTTAAAAGATTTTGCCAAGATAGTGAATACACATTTCTAAGTCATTTATTGTTGCAAATGAGATATCTTTTTCCATTATGTTTTCTAGCTGGTTATTGCTAATCAAGTCTATTATTTTAGAAAATTAATTTTAAATCCGGTCGGTGAATAAAATACTAACTCTAATTTTTTCCCAGTAATTTTCTTGGTACTTGTAGGCAGACAATTATATGATCTGGAAATAATAATTTTAAAAGTCTTTTTTCACTTATAGTAAGCAAACCTTGGTTTTTTTCTTCAATTGCATTAGTAGGTCCTTCTAGATCATGTTAAGTCATATGCGTTATGTGAGAAGGGCTGTTGTGTTTCACCATTAAATGCTGGTGACTATCTTGGAAAGATTAGGGATGAAATAGGTTTTTTAGGCTCTGAAGAGTGTCAATTTAGAAAGAAAAAAAAATTGAGAACCACTTATCTAGAATCTACTGACCCATATTTAATTTTGAATTTTAACCTCTTTGTTTAATATCTAAGAATGCCTCACTATCTCCTTCCACCATAAATAACAAGTACTGAGTTGGCCAAGTACAGAACTCACAGATCACCAACATGCCTTCTAATCTCTGTAGAGTTGTGCACTGTTGTCATGCAGTTACTATTACAGAAGAGAATTTCAAGGCCAGCCTGATTTTTAATCCTCTGATGCAAGAGTCCACTTTTATGGACCAGTGGTTTCTGAGAGAACGTTCAGCGATAACAGAAAAGATCTATATTTGTGCTGTCTATGTGGTAGTGACTGGTCGGTCTCATGTGACTATTAAGCCCTTAAAATATGAACAATGTGAATGAGGACTAATTTTAATTTAATGAAATGAATTAATTGACTTAATCTAACTTTACATATACACAGTAGTATTGGACAGTACAGGTCTGGACGCCAATAGGATTTTCTTTTTTTTGAAATAAAAGGCTTTTGCCAACTTGAAAAAGCATTTTTCTAGAATGATTACCACCTTTCTGGCCTGTAGCCTTACTCTTCTGACTAAAAGTTTAGCTCTGGTCATAAGAAATTCATCCTGTACCAGTCAAATAAATCGCATTTCCCATTCCTAAACCTGTTGAACTTGGCTTTTGATTGATGTTTTTAAGTGTCCGTGAGAAATGCGATTGGGAATGGGAAAACAAGATAGGTAGAGGCAGGAAATGTAAACAAAAATTTAAGATATAATGGTACTTTCCCTCTATCTATAGATATATTCAGTAAATGGCTTAGGTTATATAGAGTAAAAGTACAATTTATCTTAATCGAGTTCAAAAGAATGATTCCTGCATCTCTTGGCTGGAGGCTACTTACCCAAGTTGACTTCCATTGTCTCATTAGCTGGACTTACAAACACAGGTCGCACAGGCCTATTTTCCTCTGAAATAAAAACATCCACAGGACTTGTCAGTCTATTCTAGATCAGAATCTCAAGTGATGACAACACTTAGAAAAATATACTAAATGGCATCTGGCCAGATATTTCCCCAAGTGTTCACTGCACAAATGGTAGGCGAAAGGAGGCAGATGGAAAGGCAGGAAGCCGAAGCAAAGGTCACAGAAAACTGTGAACACACAAGGCAAAGCTGGACCCTTCTGAACCCACAGAGTTGGGTGCTACCGAAGAACACACATGACCAAGACCCTGAGTCTCCAGACCATTGCCTCTCTTAAAGGAAATCAGGAAGGGCGAGCAGTAGTAGAAAGGCATTTCTTTGAAGGACTAGTCAGTGCTAGACCTACTTGCATTTAGGAACTTTGGTAGTGACCCAATAGCGAAAACCTATAGGGTCACTGAAGAATAATGATCCTAGTGATGCCTGTGGGCAAGAAAATAATCTTTATGCAATAAAATTATTCTTTGAAAAAAAATAAATGTTTAGATTTGGGGAAAGGTAGCTTTTTCTAGGGTGATTATACACTAGATTTGCATAACTACCAATAGTCACCCCTTTAACATGCAAAAAGGTTCTGGCTGGAATAACTCTTCCTATATTACTTAAAACTTACAAAATCCTGATATTTACAAAATGGTTGAGCGTTCCGCCCATCCCCAGGTAATTTGTAGGAGGACATTTTTGCTTCATTTTCTTGCAAAAATAGTTTTTAATATGAAACATGGTTAATGTAGAATTGAAAACTCCAAGAAAATTAACAAGAACAATCATCATACAACTATTAATTACACACTTGTTTTACACCAAGCACTGCTATGTACAAGGCATACAAGTTTAACACCCGATTGCTAATCTTCCCAATGACTTTGAGAGGTCATATCATCTTGTTACAGAGGAGGAAACAGGCTTAGAGAGGTTAAGTAATAGCTAACGTGGAATGAACAGGAGGCAGATACTGGGAGTGTGACTTATTCCAAAGTGTCCACATCGATCATGCTAATAATTGTTACCAGTAGACCCTCAGACTTCCCAAGTGCAGGTTCTCAGAACATTCCAAAATACAAGTCAGAGGAAGCCCCAGGGTCTCTGGAAGAACGCCCTTTAACCTTGTCAAAGAACAATCAGTTGGAAAACATATCTCATTTGTCTCTGTTTAATTGGCATTATGGCTAAAGCAAAAATAAAAAACATTACATAGTTTGTAATACCAAAAAATTAAACAAAAGCCATATGACCTTTGTGGAATAATTGAGTTTGTCTTGGATTCAGTTCCTCCATGGACAATGAAAGTAACATTAGAATCATGGTCTCTGGGCATTCCCAGTTCTAAACTTCTAGGGCTAGTGCCATGACTCACCTACAGTAATAAATTCTATTGCCCGGGTAATCGGATATTGCTTTCCCAAGTATGCGTAGGATGCTTGACAAGTATAGTTTCCTCTGTGCTCTTCAGCCACATTCATCACAATGAGCTTATTCATGACGCCACTGAAGTGTACATTGTCAAGAAGTAGAGGTTTACAATCCTAGATAAACAAAGAGAAAAGTACCGAAAACCAATTAATAACTTTCCCCAGTCTATCAGACAAAGAAACTTCACTTTTTCACATCAGCAAATGTTTTATCTTTAAAAACTGACTAGATAGTTTTCTTGTATACAATGAGTTGAAATGCTGCATTTCTTTTTTTGGCAAAAATTAATTCTATTCCTACAGTATTTAATGTTTATGCCTATAAGCCTTCTGCTATGAAGGCAAGTGAAGACAAATTTATTTTGCAAGAAAAGCATGAATGTTAACACTATATAGTTTCTTACCAATATTGTATTTCATTTCTCCCGTTATTATTTCTTTTTTATCTCTCAACCTCTACAGGACGACTCCCCACTTAAGTTCCACCACTTTATGTAAACCAAAGGTATCAAAACATGATATGTTCCGTGGAATGCTGGTCAATCTACTTCTAAGACAGTTATAGAAACTGCCAGGTTATTTGAGGACCACTCATATTTTTAATAAGACAAATTAATATATTTTGTATAATTTGTTAAGTTTATGATCAGCCTTCTCATTGAACATGTTTGATTTTTATTATTTTTCTCAATTATACCTTATGAAATTAAATGAAAACAACAGCAGGCAAGATATTTTGGTACACTTCAAATTGAAAATGAATGCAGCCTTACAATTCTGTTTAGATTCCCTATTAAGTTTCACCACTAAAGAGGAAACAATTTGCAAAATACAAAGGTACTTTGCAGATTTATTCTATTGTCCAGAGAACGCTTTTATTTTCTGGAAACGGAAACTCAGATGTTCAAAATGAAATTACCTTATACCATTGAATTTTGGGAAACTCATTATTTTCATCTTTAAAGAATTCCATATAAGGGCACACAAGTCCTCCATCTCCTGCAATGGGTAGCCTCTGTGTAAAGATAGCTTGTGAACTGTAGCACAAGTTTGGCTCGTTCTCCACAAATGTTGCAGTGATGTTAATTTTGAGGCAGTGAGATGAATTTCTAAAATAAAGTAAAATAGGTAAATTAAGCATTATTAAAAGAGTTTTCCATTCTTAGCTACTGCAGTGACCTAAAACACATGTCTGTAACATATGAATTTCTTTCTTACCTTACTACACAATAGTAACGTCCCGAATCCTCTACCTTAGCCGGAACAAACCAAAGTCTGTCTTTGTACTGATGAATCCTGGAGTTTTGGTCTGTAGATACAGGTGTCTTGCTATCATTTTTATACCAAGTGATAGTGCCTCTGCTTTCATTTGGGTTGAGAGGACAGGAACGAACATCAAGCTCATTTGCAGATGAAAATAAAATTATTTTCCCTTCACGTTCCTCACATCTATCTTTAAAAGGGAGAAGGGGGAAGCAATTTCCATAAGAAAACTTGCCAATGTTTCTTAATTTAATATCTGCAAATAAACACATCAATTATTCAATGCATCAATTCATATTATATAAAAAAGCTTTACAGCCTTGTGATTAAAAGCATTCTCTTGGGAGTTTATACTCAAGTCCACCCATGTTGCTTACTGCCTGTATGCTGTATCCTTGGCAAGTTATTCAACCTCTTTCACCACTTTTTACTCATCTAAAAAGTGGAGATAATGGAGGAGAGACCTGAATTTCAGTACAAGACAAATAAGACAAAGTAACAAAAATTATACCTAACCTCCCACCTGAACAACTAAAAAATGGACAAAGTATATAAAACAACACTGTTCAAGACATTTAACATAAGGAAACAAAGGACAGATAGCTCAGAAAGATGGGAAACAAAGGACATGAGCCCTTCAATTGTCCAAAATTACTGCCCAAATTACTGCTAGGCCATGACATTGCAGAAAAGAAACAAGCATTTCCAGTGAGCTGATGAGATGAAGCTGAGAATATGGGTAGACTAAGAGTTTTCAAGGCAGAGTACCCAAGTAGCAAAAGCTGCACAAAGAGGAAGAGAATGAGTTTGGAGATACACAGAGAGTCTCCCTCAAGTTTTCAGCTGAGTACCTGTGAGGGTAAGAATATAAGAAGACTACCTAACGCTAAAGTAAAATTGCCCAAAAGGTTAGAGGGAGTAACACCTGGGGCACGTCCAATGCTGGAAACAGGTGCTGTCCTCAACAGCCAGAATTGAACACCTCATTAATCATGAGGCACCATGTGGAGTAGCACAAGGGTTCTGACTCAGTCATCGGGAAAATTAGGCCTAGAATAAACTTTTTTCTGGCCCTAATAAAACTTAAAAGCAATACCTAAAAGTATAAAACCGTTCCTAGGTAAAAGCCACATGGTAAAACAAAGCTCAAGAACATTTCTAGTAATACAAAAATATCTAGCGCCTAACAAAGTAAACCTTACAATGTCCAGCATTTAATCAAAAATTATTAGGCATGAAAATTACTAATTATTAACACAGTATGTAATGTATTATTATTATTATTATACAACCAATAATGAAGAGAAAAAATTGATCAATTGAAGCTGATCCAAAAATGACACAGACAATAGGTTTAATAAATAACAAAATTAAAATAGTCAAAGTTTTACAAAATTAAAATAACAACTGTATTCCATTTGTTCAAGATGCTAGAAGAAAGATTAAGCATGTTAAGTGGGAACATGAAAGAGATTCCAAAATAATAAACTTCCAGAGATGGAAACTACAATATTGAGTTTAAAATGCAATGAATGGGATTAATGATAGATTTGACATGAAAGAAAGATTAGGGAACTTGAACACATAGCATGACTAACTATCCAAAATTAAGCACAGAGAGAAAAATAACAGAACAAAGTGAACAAGGTATCAGTTAGCTTAGAGCAACTTCAATACAAGTAATATAAATCAATGAAGAAGAAAAGGAGGGGAAACAAAAAATATTTGAAGAAATGCAGTGTAAAAATTTATAAGATGTGACAGAAATGATGTACTCATAGACCCTCAAATCACAATGAAACCCAAGCAAAAGTAACATAAAGAAAACTATAGCCAATTCATAATAATAACATTATTTAAAACCACTGGCAAAGAAAAAATCTTTTATAAATAGTCAGAGAAAAGGGACACAGTTATTACAGAGGAACAAAGATAAAAATGATGCAGCCTTCATTCCAGAAACAGTAAGCCAGAAGAAAAATATCCTTAAAGTACTAAAAATTAAAAAAAGAACCTAGAATTCAATATCCAGTAAAAATATCTTTCAAAAATAAGGAAAGATAAAGACCTTTTTCACATTTATAAAAGCTGTAAGCTGTCATCACCAGTAGACCTACAGTACAAGAAATACTTAAGGAAGTCCTTCCAAAAGAATGAAAATATTTGACAAAATGACTATAGCCAAGGAATACAGCGCAAGAAATGTTAACTATGTGGGTAACTGTAAAATAATTTTTTTAAATTTAAGTCTCTTTAAAGAAAACTCAATGCTTAAGTAAAAAATAATATATTTTGAGGTTCATACAAAGAAGAAAGATATTTGAAAACAATAGGTTGGCTGGACACAGTGGCTCACGCCTGTAATCCTAACACTTTAAGAGGCCAAGGTGGGAGGATTGCTTAAGGCCAGGAGAAATCTGGGCAACATAGTGAGACCTCACATGTATTAATTTTTGCTAAAAAAGAAAACAACAGGGCAAAATTCAAGGAAGATAAAGTAAATGTATACTTTTTAAAAGTATACACTTATACTTTATGTAAAATTATATAGTATCAATTGAAGGTAGACAGAAATAACTTAAAGATGGATACGTAAGCCCTAGAGCAGTCATTTTAAAAAAAGCACACACACAACAAACAGTTATGACTAACAAGTCAACAAAGGAATCATAAAAATTCTCAGTTAATCAAAAAGGCAGTAAAAGAAGAGAAAAAATAACAGAACTGATAAGACAAATAGAAACAAAATAGCAAGCCGGGTTCGGTGGCTCATCCTGTAATCCCGCGCTTTGGGAGGCAGAGGTGAGTGGATTGCCTGAGCCCGTGGGTTCGAGAGCCGCCTGGGCAACTTGGCGAGACCTCATCTCTACAATAAATCAAAAAATTAGCCGGGTGTGGTAGCACGCGCCTGTAGTTCCAGCTACTTGGAAGGCTGGGGCAGAAGGATTGCCGGAGCCCAGCAGGTCGAGGCTGCAGTGGCCGGGAGCGGGCACTGCACTCCAGTCTGGGTGACAGAGTGAGACTCCAACTCAAAAAAAAGAAAGAAACAAAATAGCAAGATTTGAGAACTAAAAAACACAAACAGATTAATAATCATATTAAAATTTAAAGCAGTCTAAACACCCCACCTGAAAGGCAGAGATGAGTAAAGAAAAACCTTACTATATGGTGCTTAACATAAACACACACACTCACACATATACTTTGTATATGAAGACACAAATAAGTTAAAAATAAAGAAAAGAAGATATGATATACTAACACTAATCAAACGAAAGCTTGATTAATTAGTGTAGTTTAACCATTTCACAATGTATACATATATCAAAACATCATATTATACACCATAAATATATATAATTTTGCCAACTATACAATCATAAAAAGTTAAAATAATAAATTAATTAAGCTTGAATGACTATTATATTACTCTCATTAAAAGTAGGTTTTATAGCAAAGAACATTACCAGAGAGAAAAGGGGTCATTTCATAATGAAAAGAAACCATTCATCAAGGGGAACAAAATCATACTACATGTTTATGCACCTGCTAACAGTGCTTCAACATACACAAGACAACAACTGATTGACCTGCAAGAACTAGAGAAACCTAGTTATAATCAGAGATTTCACAAGGACTGATAAAACAATTAATCAGATAATAAGTAACGATATAGAAGATTTGAACAATCCTATCAACCAATTTGACATAATTGATATTTACAAAAAAATTCTACCTAGAATATGCATTCTTGTGTAAGTACACACAAAAACCTTAGTAAAATGTATCATATCCTTACCCATAAGTCAAGACTGAGTAAATTTTAAAGGATTCAAATTAGACAAATCATATTCCCTAGTGACAAAGGAATTAAACTACAAATCAACAACAGAAACATGCCTAGGAAATTCTCAAATGTCTGAAAACTAACACACTTCTAAATAATCCAAGGGTCAAAAAAGAAATCAAAAGGGAGAATAGAAAGTATTTTTACCTGAATTAAGGAAAATATAACATATCAAAACTTGTGGCTTTCAAAGAAATCAGTACTTACAGGGAAATTGGTAACACTAAATGCAATTTTAAAAAAAAAATCTCAAATTCATGACTTCAGCTACTTTAAGAAACTAGAAAAGGAACAAATTACATCCAAAATAAATAGTAAGCAGATGTTCCATGCCTGGGTCTTAATTGATAAGGGGTGGGTGACAACATAGAAGCTAATGGCATTGAAGGAAGATTGATATTACTTACATTTCTGAGAGAAGAAGTGAGCCAAATCACACAAAACCACAGAGGGAATTACCAGGTTGGGTTAGGAGACAGAAGCAGGCCTGGGGAGAAAGCCTGGGCCAGAGCCTTTATTGAGGTTTTCATGGAAAAGGCAAGCCAGGGCAGCATAAACAGGTTAGAATTGGCCTGTTGGAATCACTTTAGCAGGCTTTTGGGCATAGAAGCTGTCCTTGGTTGTCTGGTACCTGGTCCTAGATTGATTTAGGGCAGGTGTAATAATTGGATTGGTGTGTTAGAGTTGGATAAGAAGGTGAGTGGGTCACCCACCTTCTCATGATCAGGAAGTCTCACCTGATAGACATGTCCCAGGCAAGCTATCCATAATCCCAAGAAATTATCCTGCTTTTGGAGGGGCTGTATCTCTCCAAGTATGAAAGACTTCTAACATGTCAAAACATTATAAGATACAGAAAATAAAAGAACATGATCAATTCAGTAGAAGAGGGAGGAAGTAAGAAAACAGTAAATACTATAGAGAGAAAGTCAATGAAATAGAAAACAGAATAGTTATTTTAAAAGTTACAGATACCAACAAACTGGTTCTTTCATGAAATTGATAACTATCAAGCCAGAGTAATCAGGAAAAAAGAGATAGGCATCTCTTATTAGGGTAAATTTTAAAGAGTAATAAGGGAATATTATGAACAATGCTTTACCAATACATTAAAAAAATAATGAAATGTGCAAATTCTGTGAATGATACAGACTACTAAAGCTCCCTCAAGAAGAAATATCCTGAATTACCCTGTATCTATTAAAGAAATTAAAGGTTAAAAACGTTCCAACAGAAAATTTCAAAGCCAGATAATTTCATTGGTATATTCTGCCAAGCATTTATCAAAGAAATAATACTAATTTTTCACAAGCTCTTCCAGAAAACTGAAGAGGCAGTACTCC